GAGTAGGGGTCCATTCAGATTCTTGGAGGACCTTCGAATTTAATTTTTGGTTTATATACTACAAGAAGACTTCTTAGTCCCCATCTCCATTTTTGTAGTTATAAAAAAATACTCTATAGTAGTCTTGGTTTAGATTTCCCTGATTACTAATGAAGTTGACAGCTTTTTCATATGTTAATTTACCATTTATGTACTTTCTTCCATGAAATATCTGTTTGTGGCTTTTATTTTGTTCATTGTATACACTTTTGTCTTCTTATTGGTTTATAAAGGTTTAAAAATTTAGCCTCATACAAGCCCTCATGGCTTACTTCTGTTGAAATTATTTTTTCCTGATTTTCAACTCATCTGACTTTTTGTTGTCTTTTCATATATAAAAGTTCTTAATTTTGATGTGGTTTAATTTGTCAGTATTTTATGTTATGATTGGTATTTTGTCTTGCTTATGAAATCTTTGCTGATTCCAAGGATTTTCTTCTAAAAGTATTAGAGTTTTGCCTTTTACATTTAAGTCTTAAATCCATATTTGTAGGTGATGTGAGGTAAGTATCTAATTTCTTTTCTCCCCATATGTATAACCGATTGTCCCAGCACCATTTAAAAAACCTAATCATCCTCTTTTTGATATGAACTGACAGTTCTATCACAAAGTTTCACATATATGTGTTTGTCTTTCTAGCACGTGTGCTATTTCACCAGCAATTTGCTTGTCTTTGTCTCAATACCACATTGTCTTAACACTGTAGCTGTATAATACATCTTTATATATGGTAGTGCAATCTCCTTATTCATCTCAGGATTTTCATAGTTATTCGTGGATTTTTGCTCATTAAGGTACACATTGAATCAAGTTGTCACATTTCTTAATATTTGTTGGGATTTAGATCAGATTTACACTGAATATGTAACAGATTTGAAGAGGATTTATACTTTATGACACTGAGTCTCCCAAACCATAAACAAAGTATTTCTATTCAATTATTTGGTCTTTCTTAATAATTTCCCATAATTTGCATAGTTTTCTTCATAAATGCCCTGTGTAAATCTTGCAGGATTTCTTTCTAGGGGTGTGTGTGTGTGTGTGTGTGTGTGTGTGTGTGTGTCTTTGCTAATTCAAGTCTAAATGTTTGTTTATGATAGAACGGAAACACAACTGATTTAGGGAGCATTGATTTTATATCCAGATACCTTACTAAAGTCTTTAAATTTTTTTAGATTATTTTACAAAATTTTTTATGTCTTCTTTGCACACATTCCTATTTTCTGCAAATGTTTAGAGCTTTAAATTTCTTCCTTTTGACTGGGCATGGTGACTCATGCCTGTAATCCTAGCCCTTTGGAAGTCTGAGGCAGGTGGATCACCTGAGGTCAGAAGTTTGAAAGCAGCCTTGCCAACATGGTGAAACCCATCTCTACTAAAAATACAAACATTAGCCGGGCGTGGTGGTAATCCCGGCTACTCAGGAGGCTGAGGCAGGAGAATTGCTTGGACGCAGGAGGTGGAGGTTGCAGTGGTCACTGCGCTCCAGCCGGGGTGACACAGTGAGACTCTGTGTCAAAATGAATGAATGAATGAATGAATGAATGAATAAATTTCTTCTTTCCAACACCTATACAGTGATTTTCTGTAGGATTTTGGTAGACATTTTTTTTTTACAGGAAAAAATGATGTCTTATTTCTTACTTACCTAAATTATAAATGGATGTTAATTTTATTGAATGCTTATTCTCTATAAACTGAGATCCTAATATAGTTTTACTCTTTAAATTTATTAATGTGGCTAATTACATTTTTAGATTCTTGCTGTTAAAGAACTCAAATTCCCAAGTAAATTTAATTTCAGCATGATTTATTATATGTTACAAGATATTGATGGATTTGGTTTGTCAATGTCTTGTGCTTAAGATTTATAAATGTGCATTTGTAAATGTCACCAGAAGCTTTTCAAAGTTATTAGACTTTTTTTTTTTTTTTTTTTTGAGACAGAGTCTAGCTCTGTCACCCAGGCCGAAGTGCAGTGTCACAATCTTGGCTCCCTGCAACCTCTGCCTCACAGGTTCAAGAAATTCTCCTGCCTCAGTCCCTCGAGTAGCTGGGATTACAGGCACCTGCCACCATGCCCAGCTAATTTTTGTATTTTTAGTAGAGATGGGGTTTCACCATGTTGGCCAGTCTGGTCTTGAACTCCCAATTTCAGGTGATCTGTCCCCCTCAGCCTCCCAAAGTGCTGGGATTACAAGCATGAGCCACCATGTCCGGCCAGTTATTAGTCTTTTTAAAGAATTAACCTTAGACTTTGTAGATTCTATTTATTGTATCTTGGCTTTTCTATTTTAATCACTTTTGCTCTATTTTTATCTTGTTTTTCCTTTATTTGGTTCTATTCTGTTCTTTTTCTAATTTCTCAAGTCCCATGCTTAGGCTGTTAATGTTAACCTTTCTTTGCCTCTAACATAGGAATGTAAGAGTCTCTTTTTTATTCTAACTACTCCTTTAGTTGTATCATCTCATATGTTTGGATTAGTGATATTTCTGTTACAAATAACAGAAACACAGTTACTTGTGAATATTGTATTTCTATTTTTTAGTAATTTTTCTAACAGCGTACCATGCATGTTTTGTATGAGAAAGTATGAAAATCACCACCAGGATGAAATCTTTAGAGAATTCATTCACCACTTTCAGGTTGCAGGCAGTGGCGACAGAATTATTACCAAAAATTCATGGTTGTAGGTTCCTAATGTGTAGATATTTTTCTGTAGCCACTCTATGTTATCATCTTCTTCCTCAAAGTATTTCAACTCTGGCAAATCTATCTATGAAGATGCTGATTGTCTGCAGAGTGTGTGTGTGCGTGCACATGCATATGGCTGAATGTACACATATATGACGAATTCTTTCAACATTGGACATATGTACAAAACAAATGACCTCCTTTATGACAGCATAGTCCAGAATTTCTAACAATTTTACTCTTGGTGAAACAGTTCTTTCTGTCTCTCAATATTCTTGGGGGTTAGTGAATGAATAAGGGTGGCGATCATTGTTCCTGTAATGACCTGTGGGAGGAAGCAGATTCACGTAGCAGTGAGAAACTTCTCTGTAAGTGGATTTGACTGAAGTGCTTTACAAAGTAATACTACATCAACCAGAAGCTTCCACTCTAATGATGTAGCTAATGCTCCTGCCTACAGTTCCTCCAGCACATAATCCAGGCAATTAATAACCTTTACTCTGTGGTCAAGGTTTGTGGGAGTCAGATCAGTTTCTCTGAACCTTGAAAAGCTCTCAACTCACGTAACTCCTAGGGCTTGGGTAGCTGTGGGCTGGTGGACTCAGCAAGACTGTCCTGCGATAGTCATTTGCATGAACATCTTACACTTTGGGGGATCAGAAAGAGCATGTGCAGTGGTTCTATCCTTGAAAAAAATTTTTTAAAGACAGGGTTTTGCTCTGTCACTCAGGCTGCAGTGCAGTGGCATGATCATGGCTCTCTGCAGCATTGACCTCTTGTGCTCAAGCGATCCTCCTACCTCAGCCTCCTGAGTAGCTGGGACTACAGGCATGCACCACCATGCTCTGCTCATTTTTGTATTTTTTGTAGAGTCAAGGTCTTCTTATGTTGCCCCGGTTGGCCTTGAACTGTTGGGCTCAAGTGATCCCCCGCCTTGGCCTCCTGAAGTGCTGGGATTAAAAGTGTGAGCCACTGCGCGTTGCCTGAAAGGTTTTGCACAGTGATTTTGTTTCTTAGGGGTTTGTCCAGTCTATAAGGGTAAGACTGATCCTTACTCATAGTCTTGTTCTTTGTCACCACAACTTAGTTTCTCTTCCTCCAGTCAACTCTAGACTGGTTCTTAGCAAGAGGTGAAAACAAAACTTATCAGAAAGATAGAGTAAGAGAGAGAGAGAGAGAGAGAGAGAGAGAGAGAGACAGAGAATGTGTGTGTGTGTTTTCCATCCATTTAAACAAGCCTGGAACACTCCAGCGTTTCAACGTTTTACTTAGATGAGAACATCTTACTGTTGACTCAGTTTAGTACTTGAGATAAAACTACAAGGAGTCAAGTTACTTCCTCTGGGTCAAAAAATTAGTAGATGGTGCAGTGAGACACAAAGTAGCTCCCTGTCTAGTTCTGTGCAGTAGTGACAGAAAAATTATAAGGTTTAACAGAAACAGAATTATTGCTAATTGCCCTTGAATAGGCTTTCCTCTACACTTGTAACTCAGCAATCCTCTGTCATGCAATTAGCTGCTTTATCATGTGGAAGAAGAAGGGGCTAAAATTAGTCAAAGTCAAGTCGTCTTTGGGGAAAATTAGTTCTTTGCAGCAGGGGTGTAGAGAGAGAGTCAGGAAATGAAGCACTGTTGGCTGGGTGCAGTGGCTCACGTCTGTAATCCCAGCACTTTGGAAGGCTGAGGAGGATGGATCATGAGGTCAGGAGTTTAAGACCAGCCTGGCCAATGGTGAAACCTGGTCTCTACTAAAAAATACAAAAATTAGCCAGTCTTGGTGGCATGCATCTGTAGTCTCAGCTACTCGGAAGGCTGAAGCAGGATAATTGCTTGAATCTGGGAGGCAGAGGTTGCAGTGAACGGAGACTGCTACTGCACTCCAGCCTGGGTGACGGAGAGAGACTCTGTCTCACAAAAGAAAGGCAGGAAGGCAGGAAGCTAGGAAGAAAGAAAGAAGGAAGGAAAGAAAGAAAGAATAAAATAAAAAAAAAGGAAAGAAAAGAAAAAAGAAAAGAAAGCAAGCATTCCTGGCCCGGTGGCTCATGGCTATAATCCCAGCTACTTGGGAGGCTGAGGCAGGAGGTTCACTGTGCCCAGGAGTTTGAGGCTGCAGGGAGCCATGATTGCACCACTGCACTTCACCCTGGGTGACAGAGTAAGACTCTGTCTCTAAATAAATGAATAAATAAAAATAAAATAAAGCATTATATCCTCACAGTGTCTTAGCATTTGGTAGAAGTAGCAGATATTGTACATCTTCTGGCTCTTCAGGGGGTGAGTACAGGCTTCTTGCGGTCAAAAGGGACAAGGGGGGACAGTTCTTCTTACGACTCTAATTTACAATACTAGGGTAGAGCTCAATAAAGACCCTGTTCAGGACATTGTTAGCATTTGAGACGATCCTCTGGCCTCCCTCCTCACCTGACTCCATGAAGATATTGTAAGGTAGGTGTAACGCATAGTTTGTGGCAAGGTTTTCTTTTGAACATTAGCCTAGAAGGAAGGGGACTAGCTCCGTTTCTGCCCACTGCTGAGTCACAGAGGCTTGAATAGAATCCCTTAGCAGCAGCCTGAATAAACAATGACAAATGCTAACCCGGGGAGAACGGAGGTGGTTTCTAAGTTACAACTAGAGTTTTTCCCATTCTACCACTGACTTCTAGATCCAAGTCTTGGCTCTTTTCACTTCAGAGACGTCTAAACAATACCCCGAGAAGACAGGAAGATGTGGGAAAGTTCGGAACTGCCTAGAGACTTGCTGAACGGCTTTGACCAAATGCTGATGATGATATGGACAATCAAGTCCAGGCTGAGGCTGTCTCAGATGGAAATGAACTATGTCCATGTTTCTAACACGGCAGTCTTCAGTGCTGTCTCTACAGTTTTAGGAACTATGGCCTGTGATGCTGCTGGGGCTCAGAAAATGATACCCCAAAATACGGCACTTTGACATGCTGAACTAAAGAAGCGGCCTCCAGGTAACTTTCTCTGACCTCTCCCCACCCTTACCTACACCTCACCCCCGTCCTCTTACTTTCCTGAAGCACCAGCAGGGACTCTCTCTGGAGCTTCCTTGTCTAAGAAAGATTCTTTCCAAAAGACATGCAAATTGTCGGCTGGGCATGGTGGCTCATGCCTGTAACCCTAGCACTTTGGGAAGCTGAGGTGGGCGGATCACTTAAGTCCAAGAGTTTGAGACCAGCCTGGCCAACATGGTGAAACCTCATCTCTACTAAAAATACAAAAAATTAGCTGGATGTGGTGGTGGGTCCCTGTAATCCCAGCTACTCGGGAGGCTGAGGCAGGAGAATCACTTGAACCTGGGAGGTGGAGGTTGCAGTGAACTGAGATTGCATCACTGCACTCCAGCCTGGGCGACAGGGCAAGACTCCATCTAAAAGAATAAAATAAAATAAAATAAAATAGAAATGCAATTGTCTTAAAACGCCCTCCCCAGGAATCTCATCAAATAACCAGGAAAGATTACCCAAAGGAGAAGAAACTAGGAGCCCTCACCTTGCCCTGATAGACCTTTCATGTATTCCTCCAAGTGCAGCTGAGAGAGAGAACCTGAGAGGCTTTATCTGCATAATAAAACAACCTTTGTTCACAGTTCTGCCCTTCACCATCTGGCCACCTACCCCAGGGCCCATAGGAACTTTGTCCCAGATCATTGTTCTTTGGGTTCATTCATTCCCCATGAAAACCATTTACTGCTCTACCCTTCGTCTCCCCTTTCCCTATGAGGAAGGGTATATAAACACTCGGACCTTACTGGGTTATTGGGTAATCATCCTCCTTTGATTCCCCTGAGCTATACATGTTAAATACATTTTGTATGCTTTTTTTCTTTTTATTAATTTGTCAATAGTCCACATTCAGCAAACTTTCAGAGGGTAGAAGGGGAAGCTTTTTCTTGCTCTCTACAATGACATATTAAACAGATGAAATCAGAAGTCTGGGAATGCAAGGACTTCCTGGGATCATATCATTATTTTCCCTGTTTTGGCTGGGAATACTATCTCACTAGCGCAGATAGACGGCAGTTGGTTCAGTTCAGAAAACTCACATGTGGGATCTGTATATCAGATCTGTGGGGCCTTCACTTCCTTAAACCAGCGAGTTTAAGGGTGAGGTGATTTCTCTTTCATTCACATATGTCATCCATACTTTCTAAAACATTTCCTTTTTCATGTTAGTGATTTCCAAGCTATCGCTTTAGTCAAATGAACTTATTTCTGTTAGATTACAAATAATTACTGCTAGGATGAATCCTGACTGAAGGAGTAATCAGTAATTCTCTTCTGCCCATCCCCTATCGGATTTAGATAAAAATTCAATGTTTTTAAATTTCTGTAGGTTGGTTAGGAGACGTGGGAGAAGATGACGGGGAGATGGTGGGAAGGGAATTTAGGTGATGCTCCTGTACTCACTCATGTGCTTCCTTATTCCCTGAGTCAACTCGTTTTCATACATTTCTTCAGGATCTTGTTCAAGAAGATCTTTCGATTTTTTTTGGCCTACTCTAATTACTCCTTCTCTATGTTACTGCTCCTAATTTTACAGACGACCCTATTATGTGTTACTGCTTTTTCTTTTCTTTTTTTTTTTTGAGATGGAGTCTCGCTCTGTAAGCCAGGCTGGAGAGCAGAGCGTGGTCTCAGCTCACGGCAACCTCCACCTCCCAGGTTCAAGGGATCCTCTGCCTCAGGCTCCCGAGTACCTGGAATTACAGGTGTGCTGCCACACTCGGCAAATTTTTATATTTTTAGTAGAGACGGGGTTTCACGACGTTGGCCAGGCTGGTCTCAAACTTCTGACCTCAAGTGATCTACCTTTCTTGGCCTCCCAAAGTTCTGGAATTACAGGTATAAACCACCATCCCTGGCCCATGTGTTCTGTTTTATAGTCTATTCATTATATACATGATACATTTACTTCCCTAATTGTGGTGTAAGCTTTTTAGAGGATGCTTATACTGCAATTAGGGAAGTAAATGTATCGTGTTCCTATTCCATTTGTATATTGCTTTACAAAGGCATTCAGATAATAAATGCTTGATAATGAATACATAAATCAATGTATAACTGATTAGCGTCTCTCTTCCCTCAGTCTTTGTATATCCTGAAGACAGTTTATATGCAAAATTAAAAGTATGGAACTTACTGGAGTCTCTCTTGGCAGTTTCTGGATCTGTGTGTCTTGCATACAAACATTTCCTTAATGACTTTATGTTTGAAAATCTTAAGTGAAAATATGTTAAATGAAAAAATTTTTTTGTTATCCTCATGAGAAAAATTAACCCAAGATACCCAACAGATCGAAAACATATAGATGATTAAACAAACTAAATTTATGTAAGTAATACATATAAAATAAATACAGTTTTCACATATGAATTTTTATCGTATTCGCCAAAGGAGGAAGAGAAGACTTGGTTGTAGGTGATGGTCAGTGGAGGACTGGGAGGGGATTATTCTTTCAAAGTCAGGGAAGATTCAGTGCCAGGCCAGCATTCAATATCAAACTTAATGTGATTAATCATTTCCTTTACCTGAGGCTTTGACCGCACAAAAGCTAAACACAAAAAGCCTTTGTAGCACCTTGAAATGGTGAACATGTACAGCAGACTGAAGAGTCATAGAAGATGCAACTCTCTCATTCATTTTGGGTTCATCTAAATATGTTATTGATATGGTTTGGCTGTGTCCCCACACAAATTTCATCTTGTAGTTCCCATAATCCCATTTGTCATGGGAGGGACCCAATGGGAGGTGGTTGAATCATGGGTTCAGTTACCTTCGTGCGGTTCTTGTGATAGTGAGTGACTTCTCATGAGATCTGATGCTTTTATAAGAGGCTTTCCCTCCACTTTGCTCTGCCCTTCTTCTTGCTGCCACCATGTGAAGAAGGACATGTTTGCTTCCCCTTCCACCATGATTGTAAGTTTCCTGAAGCCTCCCCAGCCATGCAGAACTGTGAGTCAATTAAACCTCTTTCCTTTATAAATTACCCAATCTTAGGTATGTCTTTATCAGCAGGGTGAGAATAAACTAATACAGTAAATTGATATGGCGTAGTGGAGCACTGCTGTAAAGATACCTGAAAATGCAGAAGGGACTTTGGAACTGAGTATCAGGCAGAGGTTGGAGCAGTTTGGAAGGCTCAGAAGAAGATAGGAAGTTGTGGGAAAGTTCAGAACTTCCTACAGACTTGTTGAATGGCTTTGACCAAAATGCCGATAGTGATATGGACAATAAACTCCAGGCTGAGGTTGTCTCAGATGGAAATGAACTATTTGGGAACTGGAGCAAAGGTGACTCTTGTTATGCTTTAGCAAAGAGACGCAGCATTTTCCCTCAGCCCTAGAGATCTGTGGAACTTTGAACTTGAGAGACATGATTTAGGGTAGCTGGTAGAAGAAATTTCGAAGCAGCAAAGCGTTCAAGAGGTGACAGAGCATAAAAGTTTGGAAAATTTGCAGCCTCTGTGGTAGAAAAGAAAAACCCATTTTCTGGGGAGAAATTCAAGCCCTGCAGAAATTTGCACAAGTAATGAGAAGCCAAATGTTAATCACAAAAACAATGGGGAAAATGTCTTCAGGCCATGTCAGAAACCTTCACAGCAGCCCCTCCCATCACAGGCCTGGGGGCCTAGGAGGAAAAACTGGTTTTGTGGGCCAAGCCTAGGGACACCCTGCTGTGTACGACCTAGGAACTTGGTGCCCTGTGTCCCAGCCACTCCAGCCATGGCTACTGGGGGCCAAGGTACAGCTCAGGTCATGACTTCAGAGGGTGCAAGCCCCAAGCCTTGGCAGCTTTCATGTGGTGTTGGTCCTGCAGGTGTGCAGAAGATAAGAATTGAGGTTTGGGAACCTCCACCTAGATTTCAGAGGATGTGTGGAAATGCCTGGATGTCCAGGTAGGGGTTTGCTGCAGGGGCAGAGCCCTCATGGAGAACCTCTACTAGGTCAGTGAAGAAGGGACATGCGGGGTTGGAGCCCCCACACAGAGTCCCCACTGGGGCACTTCCTAGTAGAGCTGTGAGAAGAGGGCCACTATCCTCTAGACCCCAGGACAGTACATCCACTGACAGCTTGCACCATGTGCCTGGAAAAGCTGCAGACACTCAACACCAGCCATGAAAGCAGCCAGGAAGCCCCCAAATATTAGATATATTAGAAAGAATGCAAAACAATGATGCCTACATTATTCACGAACAAAAATTTGGAAGAATTTTGCCCACTTGGATGTTTTCTTAGCTTCAACTTAACATTCAGGTTCACAAGACTCTCAGAGGCCATACCTGGCACCCCTCTAATCAGAAAGACATAGGATTAGAACTATAGCTTGCTAGCAGGGCAGCATCAGACACGATATTTCTGCAGGAGCAGTCTCTGCAGCAGCAGTCCACACAGTATGCAAGAGATAGTCTGTTGGCTCTCCACCCCTCACTGTCTACCTGGGGACAGCCAAGGTGCATGTGGCACCATCCTGGAGCCTTTAACTCTTGTGAGAACTTAACAGAGTAGTTTCCAATCCCATGCAAGGTGTATGCGAGTTATAGGCCCACTGCATTCAGAGAAGCTCAAAGTCCAGTTTCTTCCAGGTACTTAGTTTTCCCAGTTCAAGTGTAGTCCATCAATCAGGAGTCTTTTTTATGATATGCAGTATTGCTTAGTAACATAGTTAACATTTTGTCATTAGGAGGCTCTAGGTGGACAGAGCTAGAAAGTTAATTAAAAGTCAAATTATCATGCAGAAGGAGAAAAGAAATTTACACACAAATTGAGAACAACAAAAAATGACAGAATAGATTTAGAGAGAGGCAAATAGAAATTTGAAAAGAAAAAAACAACCAAAATTAAGAGTACAATGGAAGAGTTTAACAGAAGAACAGTCACAACTGAAAGGAGAACTAATAAAGAGGGAGATGGGGAAGAAGAAAAAAATTCAGAATATATAACAAGGAGAAAATATTTAATACACAAACACAAAAATATAACAAACAGAGTGAGACAGTCTATCTTAGTTTTAGTTAGAGGCTCAAAAGTCGAAGAGAAAGAAAATAAAGGCAATAAAGGCTGTTATCATTTATTAGGTCTAAGTATTAATATTGAAGAGATAATATTTGAGAGTTTTCCAGACAAAATGAAACTAAAAAGTCAACAGATTCTAGAAGTTCAGCCAGTTAAACAAGATAAATAAAGAGAAATCAATAGCTAAAGACAGAATAGTAAAGCTGCAGAAAATAAACAAAAAAAACAGAAGACAAAAAGGAAGATTATATTCAAATAAGCAAAAGTTAGACAATTGGCTGCCTTCTGAAAAGCAATAATCAAATCCAAATATCTTCAATATGCGGAAAGAAAATAACTGCCTCCAAGAATTACATACTTGGTAAAATTAATTTCCAATAATTAAAGCAAAATAAAGACACTTTCAGAGAAGAAGAGCTGAAAGAGTTTTTCAGAAGCAGACCAACACTAAAGGAAATTCTATATGATGTTTCTCAGGCAGAAGCACCATGATTACATATAAAAATTCAGAGACATAGACAGAAAGAAAGAGCCAGACACCAGCACATATGTTGCTAAATCTAAAGTAACTATACAAAATATATGTCTAGTCTTCTGGGGCTTAAGAATATTAATACTTAGATCTAATAAATGATAGCAGTATATAATATAGAGTGAGACTTAATGAACTAAAAGTATTCCAACATCATATATTGTCCAGGATGAGGATAAGGGTATCAATTATTACTATGTTTAATAAATTAAGGATTAAGATTGCAATTTTTAAAGTAATCCCAAAAGAATAGAAGCAATTTAAATATGATTAAAAATATAGAAGAAAAAAAGTGAAGCAAAGCATATAAAAAAGTAAAAAATATAATGTTCTAATAGTTAAAAATAACCATTCCCAAACAGACAAGAAAAGAAATTGAAACAGAACAAAGAGAACAAATAGAAAAAAAAAGATGGTAGATTTAAAATTAATACATATCAGCAATTACATTAAATGTAAGTGGACCAGATTATCCAATTAAAAAAAAAAAACCCAAAATATGCTAGACTGGATTTTAAAATTAACTATATGCTGTATTTAGGAGTTGTATCTAAACTAGAAAGTGAGAGGAAGGTTGGAAATAAAGGTGAGAAAAGGAGCTTGATTGAAAACATTAACAAAAAGGTGGCTGTAATAATGGACCCTAAGGCAAAAAGCATGACTTCAGAATGTAACTGTTAGGGAATATAACCATTCCTTTCTGAATCCTGTTTATGCTGACTGGTTATCATAGGTTATGATATATGTTAATCTTTCTGCACCATTTTGTTTAGACAAAGAGCTTTGGTATTTTCTTCTTTACTCTCCAACTCTAAAGGTATAATAAACTAATAAATCTTCAAACATTTCTTATCTTTAAAATTTTTGTGTAAATGATTACCGTCATATTATTTAGTGCAGTGACTTGTTTTCATCCTTACTTCCTAATCTCCAAGCATTGCCAGGTACCTGAGCTTTTCCAGTGTCCGTGTCTCAAAGCCAGCACAAGTCCAGAACGCACTGCCTCTGAGAGTCGATCCACGGCAATTCTTTCCCCAACATCCCCTTGGTGTCTAGGACTCTAATGACCAAAGGAAAGGGGCTTGCTGTTGCTTGGCTACTATGTTGGTGGATGTGATTTTAGGCTACAGGTATGTCCACAGATTGACACTGTGGAAAGGTCACTCAAGACGCAGTGTGGCAAATGGGTTGGAATGGACAAGACTGGCTGTAGAGAGGCCAGTTTTTGATCTGCTTATGTTAATGGAGGTGATGGATGGACCAGTGCAGTGATAAAGTGGCAGTGAGTCTGTAGAGAGTCCAATACATTTAAATACTATAATTCTTTGGAAATAAATGGTTGTGTTGGGAGATTGGGAGTGTTTATCTAAAGATGATATCAAGATCTGATGTGAGCAGCAGGATGCATAGCAGTGAGCGTGTGTCTAGGCAGGGGTAGAGGCAGGTTTTAGTGTCTGTTGAAACACCTAGAACCATCCACTACTCTCTGGGAGATGCTGGCTTGGGGCTGATCACTGAGTGTTGAGGTAGAGGTTGGTACATGATGCTGACAGGGAACTCCCCGGTGTGTTGAGTTTTAGTATCTGTGACTCTGAGATGCATTTGAAGCCTTTGTAAATTTCAGAGTTGAGAATAAAAAGTATAGATTTGTATTTTGGAAAGAGATTTGGGAATAAACGTGGCTCTGGTTGACATAGATAATATGTGAAGTTTTGTTGGCCAGAGATGGTGTGTGTCTTGGGTGTTGGGCAGAGAACGGATAGAGCCAAAGCTCTGCGAGGTCAATGTGAAGGGTGATTTCCTTGTTGGGCTCAAGTTTGTAACACCACCTGAACCTGGCTTGGCTTCTCAACTGGAGAAGAAGCATAATTACATGTCACACACAGCTCCTGTC